AGTGGATGGTATTTTGATAGGGACTGCATTAAATGTGTAGATTGCTCTAGGTAGCATTGACATCTTCACAATATTTGTTCTTCCAATCCATGAGTATGGAACGTTTTTCCATTTCTTTGTGTCTTCCTCAATTTCTTTCATGATTATTTTATAGTTTTCTGTTAAGCTTTAAAATGAATGAGGGAAACCACAGTTTCCTAAGCAGACTATGGGTTTCAAACTTAATGTTGGGTTGATTTTTCTCTCTCACTTTCTTCATTTTTGATTTTGAGATTTTCCTTGGCTGTTAGAGCAGCCCAGGTAGGCTAACCATACAGGTGGGTGAATGTCCTATTGTCGGGAGGCCAACATCAGTGGACATACCTTCTGATTTAGCACACGGGCACCACCATCGACACAGTTCCTACATACAGAATCACCTGGAATCCCATTTATCCATGCTAATGAATATCAACAAGGTCATAGTTCAACTGAAATACAGCTCGTTTCCAGAATCTCATCATTCATCAGAATGACAAACTGTGTCACCTACCCTTCAGAATGCTGGGAGATCAATACGTAAAGGAGGGAAACCCTTTCTTCCCAGGCCTCACCTACAAAAGCCCCCTCCAAGGACATAAAATACCAGTGGATGAAAAAAAGGGAGTGTCTCCTTTACTCTCAATGTTCCCAGAGCCCGAAATCTGCTTCTGGGGACACTGGCCTTTGAAACCAGTTCAGCTGATGGAAGTAATAAGGAGACCAAGCAGCTCTGCCCCTGAGACACTAGGAAGACCACCTTCCTGGGAGCCTCTATCTACCCCAGGCCCCTTCTCTTTTAAGTGGTGATCACACTCCCCTTATCCTCTCCCTGCAATTTAACTGCCTCTTAAGATTAATGTGAGATTAAAAAGGAAATAACTTAGAACAGTGTCAAGGACATGGTAAATAGTCACCAGATGTCAGAAATTATCAATATGAGTGCAACACATGAATTCTCTAATTTGTTCTTCACAGGAACGGAGTCAGGCAGTAGTTCTCAACGTACGGTATTCACGACCAGCAGCATCAACATCTGGGCACTGATTAGAAATAAATTCTTGGGCCCTTAGGCAGAGTCTTACAGAATCAGAAACTCGAGGGCCCACCAATGCATGTTTCATCAAGCTCTCCAGGTAATTAGAGAAAATTTGGGAACCACTGGCTCAGAAGGTAAGAGCCTGAAATTTGGCATCAGAGATCTGCTGGGTTCAATTCCTTGTCTGCCACTTACCTGCTGGAGAACCTAGGGCAGGTTACTAACCTTAAAAACCCCTGTTTCCAAATCGTTTTTTAAAGGGGGGAGGGCAGATCGTGAAGTTTAAATGAGGATTAAACAACATAATGGTCGATGAATGGGAAGCTTCAGTATATATTAGATGAGTGAAATGAGCCCCAGCCATGTTAGGTAATGCACCCAATAATACGGCAACTCATCAGATTTACTTTGCAAACCTGGAGTCAATTTGAACCCAATCCAAGTCAAAAAACCGTGCTCTTAGTTGTGCTTAAATTCCATCTTATATCGTAAACTGCCCAGGAAAATTGATAAAGGAATTAGATACGACATCAAACAAACCCCATACCACAGGAAGTGGTCTTGCCTTCATACATTGTCTGTAAGACTGACCTCTGACTCTGTTGATAAAGCTGATTATTAGACAAAGCCCCTGTGCCAGGTTACCTTGCATATTATTCTGTTCTCTTTCCCTGACTCTTTTATCAGTGCTGTCTAAAATGCACATGCAGCCTAAAGAAATGAATAAGACACGGATATGTAAGTTTAAATGACAAAAGAGTGGTATTACACAAGTGTTATCTTGGTTTCAAATCAACATGCTTCAGCCTGAGTATGACATGAATATATTTATCACTAAGAATGAGAAGTCACAAAAGCTTCAGAACATGGGTTATGATTACAAATTACAGTTTTTTCACTACACTTGGAAATTATCCAGTTTTTCCTATTAATTGCTCAACAGATAATAAGCATTTTATTAACTGTCACTGTTCTAAGACTAGAATTACATCTATAAGTATACATGTAATTATGAACTCAGTTAAAAAATTCAAAAGTTTCCATTCCTGGAAATTTTAATGTAAAAATTTCTTTGCAGTGTTACTTCAAAAATCAATTAGATGCTTTATTTTTCTGTACCTGGATAAGTACCTATCTTTTCTCCACACTCTATCAATAAGTAAAACCATTAAAATACATATGTATAAATTTCAAAATGTTAGAATTTAATTCTTATCCAAACTACAAGGTATAAATAGAATAACATTCTCAGATACCAAATAGAATTAAGCACTCAATTCTGCTGCTATCCTGATAATGGGAACATATTATAATGACATACTAAGAAGTAACACAAAACAAAAAGAAGTTAACAGATGCATTCCAAAATTAGAAACAACATGGCTTAGAACAAATACAGTAAGCAGAAACGTTGATTAGTTTCTAAATTTCTTCC